TTTTGTGCCCGCCGTCACATGTGTTTGAGATCCGTAGGCAGAATCCCGAAGCGGAGTCGTCTTCAGCAGGAAATCCTTAGCAGGCCGTCGACAGCCTTCGTTTAGTCCGCGGCAGAAGCTGGCAGTGACGAACTGAACCGTGCCAAAGACGGCAGTAGCCACGAATCGAAGAGGTTCAGGGCAAACTCACGATCTTCTTCCCTCAAAGCCGTCGTGTCCCAAGCTGCAGTGGCGGCCCCCTGTTCCAGGCGAAGTTTATGTCCTTCGGTGAGTTCCAGGATCTCTTGGAGTCCTCGCACTCCCTGACGGCAGAGTTTACGCAGAGGACGGGGCGAAGCAGTGGGGGAGCAAGGGAACGGACACGGCTTGCAGGTCGTGGGATTCGTATTGCAATAGCCAACACAGGAGTATCTCCTGTGGGAAATGCCAAATGTAGACTGTTACATGGTGGGGGGGGGGTGGTGCCAAACCTCCAAGACCCTCTAGGATCTACCTAAAGTCTCCGTTGTCGTTCTCTCATGGTTAGCATCCTACCCCTAAACCCTAAACCCTAAACCATAAGTCTCCGTTGTCGTTCTTTCATGGTTAGCATCCTATAAGGCATCCCAAAAAGCAGGAACAACAACGGAGACTCCACTAGAGGAGCCCAAAGACTTACCAATCTTAGACTGAAGGTTCCTTATAAAATCGCCTATGCATAAATGACAGTAATCATAAGAATTGAATCATAATCATAACCATAATCATAATAATCATAATCATAATCATAATATTCTATAATTATAGCAATGTTAGACTTTAAGGTTCCTAATTTTTTATAGTATACAGGAGGTTTAAACCCTATTTTAATCATGAAGCCCCCTATATCATATCCTTATCCTTATATTAGCCCTTATAGTAAGCCTTATAGCCCACCGTCAAAGGAACCCCACTCGAAATTATCAAGGCCCCTATATGTATTATATCCTTATAATCGCCTATATATGTATATGTGTATATATATATATATATCTGTACGTATGTATATATACTAATTATAATAATGGTTGTAACAATAGCAATAGATATAATTACAATAGTAAGAAGAAGACGATCTCGAGCCCACGTCAGGAGAGTCGGCTTCGCCTTCCGCCTGGCAATGATGACTCAGCCGGAGGAAATGCTGAAAACCCGCTTCCAGGCGGGTTTTCTCAGAGCTTCCTTAGGGATTCTATAGGGTTTCTGAAAGGGTTTTTAAAAGGGATCCTGAAAGGGTTCTATAGGGGATCTAGAATCTAGAAAGGCGGGTTTTCAGTTGAGGGTTTAGGGATTTAGGCGTTTGGGGCTTCAGGGGGGAAGGATTGAGGATGTTGGGATTTATGCTTTAGGGTTTAGGGTTCAACAAGGGCTTCAGGTTTTCAGTTGAGGGTGAAGGGGCTTCGGGTTCAGGATATGCTAGAGCCCTGGGTGCTCCAGGGCTTCAGGCTCAGGATATTCTAGAATCCCACGTTTGCGGTTGAGGGTCAGGGGTTTCTGGTTTACTCGTAGGGGTTAAGGGTCTCGGGCTTAAGATTTAGGGTTTAGGAACCAGGGATAATAAAAGACAAAAGGGTAGACAGGCTTGAGAGAGCTTCGGCCGGGGCAATGAGTGGAAACACTTCTTTTGTAGTGCTGCCCAGTCTATTTTACGGAAGCCTTTCAAGAAGCCGTATATAAACACTACTCGACTAATCAGGCCCCTGAATCGGGCAACCATTAGAAAAAAGGAGGGACCCTTAATGGGGACACCTGCCCTATAATGGGCTATATATTGGGTATATAATAGCTATGACCGAGGGCTTTTAGGTTTGATGCTTTGGATGACAAGAAGCCGAACCAGCAGCCTTGCCGGGGCTTGAGGGATTAGAGTTCGGGGCTTTTCCACGTCTAGTCTACTTGGATGGACTTTTGGGACTTAGTAAGTAGGTTATTAAGTAGAGTTACAAGTACCCTAAATGGACTTACCCAATTATAACCCTACTTAGAACCTACTTACTAAGTCCCCTGCCCCTCCAAGTATAGATGCAAGACATACGAAAGAGACGCAGAACCTGTGATCATGAGATCCTGGCTCACTACCACGATACATTTGGAGGTCTTTAAGCTTCCTTACGACCTGCTTACAAAGTCCCATTGCTCCTCTCGCTGGAAAGCCGATTCCTTCATACCCATTGATTACGCATCATCACCAGTCCCAAAACAGTCTTTTTCGCGCATACTGTCCGGGCCGTGTTGCACTTGCCAATCAGGAGATGAATTTCGTGGAGTTTCAGCATGCTGCCCCTGCCTCAAAAAGTCGAGCTTGGTGGGAATCCGGGTGTGATCATCCGCATCTGTGTCACCAGCTTCCTGCGCTTAGGTGGGTGTAGCTGCTTTCCTTCGTGGCCAATCGGCTCGCTGCCTGGCCGTCTCGGCCTCAGTCTGTGAAGTTGTTCAAACTGTGCGGCTGTGCACCGGTAGAGAGCTGCTGCACATTGAACGGCAACTTGTGGTATCTAGCAGCTGTAAATGCTGCGAGCGCGTCTGGCATTCATGGCATTTTCTGATGCCTTCACCAGGAAGCAACCATTAGGACTGCAGTGCGCGAGACTACGTGACCAGCAAGGGCTAATGTTCACTTCATATTAAGAAAGGGGGCCCCCCCCCACCCCCGCAAGGATGGGAGCCTCAGCCTCCGTAATAAGAGTCCGGGTCCAGCATGAGAGCCATTCATCAGTTTCATAGTGCTTCTGCAGTGTTCGCGAATCTGCTGAGCAGAACCCCCAACAGCCCCAAAGCCTTTTCAGCTCCTGTAGATTCTGCTTACAGTTTTTTAGTTTTTCCGCTAGGCCGCTTGGATTCTGCAAATACGGGGGGGGTTTCTAACTACGTTCTGGGAATTGGATTTTGCAATTACGCGGGGGATTCTAAATATGAGGTTGACACTAGTGATATCAAGTGATGCATCTCCCTTCAGCAGCTGGTTGTCCTTTTCGCTGCTCTTTTGAGTTTTCATCGGCCGAGCGACTGACAAATTCGGGGGGCGTGCGAGCAGATCAGGTGCAGAGGGAAGGCTCGTAACGGGGTCCTTTGCCTCGTCGACTCGGAGCTCACGCGCCCAGGTGATGTTGAAGGGCCTTACTGGAGAAAGCCAGCTCCACTTGCGAAGCAGTCGTAGAGTCATCGACAACAAACGGAATCGGGAGTGCGATGGAACAGACAGCAAGTGACAAACACAGCTGGATTTTTCTGCCTAACTGCACAAGGATGGAGTGGAGGGATTTATCCGCGAGAAGCTGGTGCCCATTGCCCGTGGTCGCTGAAGGCCAATAGTGCATGACTTCTGGGTTCACGAGTGAGTCTCGCAGTGCCGGTCAGGTTGTGTGGCTGAGCGGTTTGAGGGAGTTGTGTTTGCATCGAGCTTGAAGAAGGGCCCGGGAAGCCAGGGACTACAAAGCAAGTGTTGAGGCTGATTCCTCGATTCCGTGAACTGGACGTTCGGGGGTTTAGTGCATCTCACGCCAAGAAGAAGAATGCCAGGTGCGCTCACGAGGCCGGAGAACGGTGAGCGCGGCTGCAACGGATTCCAGCACGGGTGGCGACGACGGTGGCGTGGTATCTGGTTCCCGAACACTGAGAGGCTTCACCTGAGATGAACTGAACATGTCTTTATGCTCATGAATCGTTCTAAAGTTCTCGTGCATCGGCCACCCCCGGGCTTGAGAGCTCGGAACTGACAAGGGTTCCCTGCTGTGCACGACTCTGTTAATCCACCTTGCCTCGTGCGTGCACAGAACCTCGCAGGAGCACCGAACTACCTAAAGGGAACTCCAGAAAGTTGGAATATGGTTTCAGGGTAGGATACCTTATAATTTACCATAAAGGGTTTAGGATAATCATATTCCAACTTTCTGGCTTTTACTGTAACAGATCAAAGGTCTGTCCACGGCTGCGAGGTTCTTTGCATGCTTTACGAATGTGCGCCGACAGAGACTCTGGTCTAGACTGCTCCTTTGGAAACAAACTCTCTCCGGGTGTCCTTTTCCTTCCCTATCGTCCTCCGTGCCCTTTGTCTGCCACGATCCACAGGCATGTACAAATAGGAGTTTCCGAAAATAGGGGACCCTAATATGGTACCCTAAATAGTAGGATCCTTATTATAAAGTTTCCCCAAAATAAGGTACCCTTAATTTTCGGAAACCCCCAAATAGTTGCCTGCGCCGACGACCTCGAAATTTGCGAGGACCTTCTTTGGATCAACAGGGGCGTCTTCCAGAGCTGATTTCACAGCCCATGGCCATTTCCAGCTTACAGGGAACTCCAGAAAGTTGGAATATGGTTTCATGGTAGGATCCCCTATAATTTACCTTAAAGGGGTTAGGATAATCATATTCCAACTTTCTGGCTTCTACTATAGGGAGAGGAGGGATCATGGCCCCTTATCCACTGAAACCTTCGCGGCTTCGAAGTCTTCATTTTCTGTGCGATGGCTTGATCTGAGCTCCTCAGCAGGGCACTTATTAAGGCCCCTAGAGTATAGAACCCTATTATAGATCCCTTATAGACCCCTTTAAGGAGCTCTTTAAAGGAGCCCTATTCTAGAAATCCGACGGCTCACCAGCCCGAACGTTACTGTGCAGCTTTGACGACTCGTTACGACAGCCCTGAGATGGAGTTTCCTCCTTCGGAGCCGGGTGAACATCACCCGAAGCTCCGGAGAAGCGCCTTTTCTGTGGGCTTGCAGTGATTCCGGTGGAAAAAGAAGACCCAAAACGGGGGAAGAAAGCAACTATTTGCGGGCCTGACCTGTTGGATTGGAGTGGTGTGAAGGTCTGGCGTGGTTATCCATGCCGAGTCGCATGCAAGCCTTGCTGGACGTGGGCCTGCGGCTGGGGTGCTTGGCTTAGGCCTGTTAGAGTAGCGGTTCGCATCTTTCTCTCTTGGCGTAGCCCACTTTGGATGAGCTCAAGGTCAGATCTTTCCCTGTCTAGCCTCTTCTCGCCATGCAGCACGTTCGTCTTCTCGTGCTGGTGTGCGGCGCATTCGCAGAGGATGCGGTGCCTCTGCCACCTCCCCCGGAGAACATGACGCAAGCGGCACCCGGGGACCAAGCCGTCCCGGCCGTCCCAGAGCGCAGCCTGTCAGGCAGTGGCAGGTGGTCACTGCTGCCCTCCTTTGCACACGCATTGTTCGGCGTGACGCAAACGGAGGGCCTGTCGGGCTTCGGCACCGTGTCGGCCGGCATTCTGGCTGGCGCGTTCTATGACGATAGCCAGCAGGGCGGGGAGAGCGGGTCATCGGGCAACACCGAGGGTGAGTGGTGTCCAGGTTGCGGCCCAGGTTGCTGCAGACTTTACTGGACACAAATATGACAAAGGGATGCTGGGTCCAGGTGTGGCCTTCGCGCTTGGTGTCTTCGGAGTCGTCACGGACGACAGCGTCGACAAAAGCGAAGTGGAGCAGATGATCGACGAAGCTCTGAGAAAGGCCAAGGAGGAGTGGAAGGAGGAGGTTCTGAGGGAGACCCGCGGCATCGTCCAGGATTGGAGTTGCAAAATATCTGTGCATCTTTTCCATAACCAGAATCTGCAAGCTCGCTTAATTCCTTAACCTGTGATTCCGAGCACCCGAGTCGTAAGAGCAGGAAGCCCTCGTAACGGCCAACTTGAAAGATGCACAGCTGGAGATCCAGAGTTTCACGAAGGATCTGGCCGCCGCGCCTAACTTGGACTTCCTCGAGCCGGATGCAGCGTTAGCATATGTCATGGCCTTGGAGAACAGGGTCACCGTTCTTGCAGAGAAGCTCTTCTTGCCCTGCATGGAGTCTGGGTGGGGCAGCCAAGACCTTTGCCTGGAAACAGATAAGGAAATAGGAAATTTGGTGCCTTGTGTTCCCCCTAGAAAGCCACCGAGAGTAGACCCCAGAGCTGAAAAGGCCTGCATTGATCGTGTGGGCTCTGGTGCAGCTTATACGCTCGATACATTGATCAACTTGCACTCCTGGGTCTTCGCTGAGATCTTCCGGACTGGAAGGGATCTCCTGGCCCTGGGGTTACTTCGGGCATTCGGGGTCGAGGATTGTGGTTCTCGGAAGAGATAAAGTGACATGTGCCTGTGGCTTCTAGGGGGAGAGGGACGATTGCAGCTATGTTATTGCGTGCTTTTTGCTTCGCACATGCAGCAGCCAGGACCTTGGAGAAGAAGTGGCGCCTGCTCCAGGATCACTGGTCCAGTTTTTCCAGTGCGAACCTTGGGCTCCAGGACGTCGCAAGGAGCCAGACTGCAGGGACCTCGGAGTTGTGTTGTTTCTTGACATGCGGGAAGATGCCCAGCAGGACCACGCTGCAAAGCAACTTCCAACGCGTGGGATGCCCCAACAACCATACTTCCCACGGTGCTTTGGAGAGCTTCAAGGCAGGAGTGCAAGAGAGAAGACTACTGAATTCTTCACGGCAGGAGGCACCAGCTGGCGTTCGAAACTGCTTGTGGCCAGGCTGCGAAGGTTCCCTATGTCCTCATGAGGCACGACGCGTGGTTCGTGACATACAGCGAGGCGTTCAGCGACCTTGCCTCTGCGGAGGCGAGGTATCATGACACGTCTTTCAATCTACATTGGTCGAAAGCGATGATGATCGTCAACAGTGATTTCGTGAATCAGCGCCACTACGCGCACGTTTCTGGCCTCCTGGCATGAACGGCTACGTTGTCTTGACATGAACCCTTTCGCCTCCCCTCTGTTGCCGCTCAGAGGTTACTGGGACGGTATATCGAGAGACTTCAAGAATCACTACGATCAGAAGTACAAGGCTGGCTTGCGCATACTGTTGTTGCGGGCTGCGTGTAGATAAGTTCAGGCGAAGAAGAAGATGACTAGCTTCAGAAGACTGTGCCTTTGAGAGATGAACCTGATATAGCCCGAGGGCACGCACTTTCCGCTCCCAGAAGCCTTGCGCAAGATGCCTCATGATGCCTCCTTCCTCCTCGATCCCGCTCTTCAGAAAAAAGCCTTAAGGCACGAGCCTCTTGAGGATCCGGGAACTAGGCAAAGTGCGAGGAAAGCATGGTACAAACTTGGCAAGACCGGGCTCATTGCACTCCAGGCCGGCCCGGAAGGGCCCTTCTTGCCCTTTGTCGCCATGACCCACCAGAATTGGGGTGTCGTGACGGACAAGGTCTTTGCCGACCTCCAAGCGGCAATAACGTACTTTGAGACGCAGCTGCTTGGTGAGCTCAGGGAAAGGAGGGTCGCCCAGTCCGCCGCTGCTTGTATGTCTAACTCCCTGTAACACTTCGCCAGTCTCTGCCCAGAGACTCCAATATCCCTTAATTAAGGAATATACCTTAAATTATAGTAGGATCCTTAATAGGATTTAAGGAATATTCCTGAATTAAGGGGTATTGGAGTCTCTGGGTGTACACCGATGACTTTCTATTTCCCCGAGCTCTTTCCGCAACTGTGAGGCTGAACGGCGGGCCGAAGGCCGCTGTGGTGGTGGATGGCCGGTTCACTGAGCTGCGCTGGTATGGGGCAGGCAACGAAGGCTCGTCTTGGTGCCATGAACAGACCTAGTTCAGCAGATTGCTATGCATGGTTTTGGAGGGCGACAATGGGCCTGGCCTCAGGCGCCCTACGAGCCGACTACCTGAAACATTTCAAGGCGAAGTACAGCCCCAAGGCGCGTTTCGTCACGCATGCTGAGTTCAACCACGTTTTTTGTGTTTTGTTCTGAGGACGTCCACCTGCTCGACAAAATGCACGGCTACTGCAGAGCGATGAAGCTGCAGAGCGATGTCAACGTGGTAAAGACTCAGACCGATGTCGAGAAGGCAAAGGAGTGCTGCGGCGGTGGCCAGGTGACCTGCCAGCTCAAGACGGACAATGACGACTGCGCGGAAGAGACGGTCCTGCGATCCGACATCTACCGGACTATGCAGCGGAAATTCAAAGGTGTCACAGCCCGGTACAAGAAGTACCTTGCCAGGAGCTTGGACAAGTTTCTGAATGCTCGGCTGGCCAGCATCCTGTGTGACAATAATGGATGTCGGGATGACCAGGACATTTCCGAGAGCACTAATTATTTGCCACGGGATCTGGGGAATTTCCAGGCCGTTTCGAGCTTGAAGAGGGAGACCTGGTACAAAGGCATGCTGTCGTTTGAAAAGAGCAACATCCTGGTGTCGGGGAGAAAGGTCTACAGCTTGGACACACCGGAAACTGCATGGTCGACAGAGACGGTCTCCGTGGATCAAAAAGCTGGCTTTGCCAGGCTCATCGGCATCGTCCCGAAAGACAGGAACACTCCCATCCTGAATATCAATGGCCAGAATTTCGACTCCCCAACATGCGGCCAGAACCAGGGAGAGGGGCGCCCTCAGGTGTGCTCACCAGACACTCACTGGTACAGCTCGGCTGAGGCAGACGATCCCTCACCGATCTTCTGGGATTTCAACCTGACAGGCAGCGAAGTGACAATCACCAAGAGGTTGCAAGCATACAACTACATCGGAGCATTCTCCAACTTGGTCCTTCAAGTTCAACCTACTCCTCATGCATGGCCACAGCTCCTCCCGCCCCGCTTGGAGCAGGGCACTAGCGAGTATACGTTGAATGCTTACTACGGGTGCCAGATTCGGGACAACAGGCGGCCTCGGCTTTTGAATTTCGGGTCCGGATCCGTCGTTCTTAGTTTGCAAAGAGCCTCCAGTCGCAGGTACTTACGATGCACCGGAGAGGACCAATACCACGGTGCCTACGGCGGGGGCCTGCGACTCGAATTTAAAAACGACCTCAAGTGGGATGTGCGTGCCTTGCCAGAAAACTGGATTGAAAGTCTTGTTCAAGGTTGCTTCTTTTGCGTCCTGCGGAGCTTTTGTCGATTCTGGGTGGCCAAGGTTTCTACATGCGCTTAGAGGGGCTGCAGGGGACACCTGGTGGGAGTGCCGCCGCGCTCATGTTTACGCAGTTTTTCTGGGGTAGTTACATGGCCCATGGCACGTATCCTCCCACGCTCTTCCTGGATGGCAGCTTGACCACGAGTACCAACGGTGGTGGTCAAGCCCTCGGCCTGGCAAAAGCAGTGATGGTTAATAAGCATTTTTCGGTGGGATATCCCTACCTAATTTGGGCTTCATTATAAGGGGGTTTATAATTTATATGGAAATCTTATCGTAGATTTGCTCCGTTGCCTCGCAGATGGAAGCAGATATGGAATTATCTACTGGGTCCTGGGGCTTTGCCTGTTTTCTGGTGTTTCTTGATCTTTAACCTAAATAATTAGGTTCGGAGAAAAACCCGGCACTGAATCTAACTTGTGGCTGATACCCTGCCTGTTTGCTAGGATAAAACAAACGACATGGATCGCGGCCAATGTATGGCGATGTGTGTTTGATATCATCGAGAATTGTGATTATTTTACATTCCACTTGTTCCTCCTTCTCGTTAGGGTGGTGGCCTGATGATGCCTTAACAGATGTGTAGTTGCTGTCTTCAGGTAGCATCTGCCTCAAAATATTCAAACGTCATTCGTTGTGTCTATATAGCTGTTCTTCGCGATAGCATATAAGGCTGGGACATCATGATTTCTCTTTATTGGTTACGCGTATAAACAAGAGTGTGAGAGACATCACGAATTCTCACTTGCAGATTGAAATGCTCGAAAACTTTGATCATGTGGTTTGTCGATGCCCCTCTTGTGTTAGAGCTTTTCGGGTTGGCCCATGATTTGTAGGGTGGCGTCTGTAGTGATTTGTGTTTTCTCTCTCTTGTGTTCACCCATACGGGTTTACCTGTAATAGCCAGTCAGGCTATTAAGCCAACGACGCTCGTTCTTTTTTTACAAAGTGTTCTACTTTAGTGGCATTCCTCCCAGGTCTCATACATGCTGACATTCTCTGTGTTTGTCAGATCTTCGTCTTGTGATTTGAAATCGTCCCTTTTGTCAATCATCGTGCGTTTTTAAGTTCAATACAAGCAGTGTAACTTTCTGCATAACCAACTTCGGCTTCAGTACTATCGTCTGTCACTGGCAAAGACTTGAGCCTGTAGAACGCTTTCGTATTTCGTCGCGAAATTCTCAACCCACGGTGTTGTTGCTACATTGGCTGTTTGGGGCTGTTAGATCATCTATATAACAACCGGCACCAAATCTCTACCCTTGCTGTCTCTGAATGGTGTTGTTAATACGCCTTTGCCTGCTTCCACCTTGAGTCTATACAAATGAGCATTGATTGAATATGTTTTGGGCAACCCTGGGGTTGGTTCCTGTATTTTGTTGCTGTCTTCTGTTGCTTGGGCCATTCTCTGGCCTAGTTGTTCTTTGTCCTTGTGCTTGTCGTATGTTTTGGCAATTATGGTTACGCGGTTGTTGTTTCTTTGTCTGTGCTTTTGTTTTCGGTGGCTTGTTTCCTAATCAACTTGTTTGCTGTAGTGAATTGGGCGATCTTGCGATCAGAACGTTAATGAATTATGTATTGGACTTTGTTCTCGTGGCTTGGGGTGATGCGGTTTCGAATCTGCACACACAGACGCACGCACACCCACCGGCTGATCCGCCCGCCCATCCGCAAGTCCACCCACACCCACTCACCACGTTACCCAAGCTTCTAAAATCTCATTTAATTTACGTCGTACTCTTATAAGCCGGTCTCGCTTTACATGACACTACACGCACCAGTACGACACATTCATGTGGGGTTATCCGGTCGTATAATATAGGGTGGAAGGTGGCATTAGCATGTGTTAGTTTGCCCGCCTCGCCTACTCAGCCCAGGGATTCTCGGACTGGGGGAACAAGGTCCTGATGGAAGAGTCACCGGTGGAAGATGGCAAATGGCACAGTTACCGCATCAAGAGGAGCCACAAGTCGATTTCGGGCCCAGGGGGTGCAAGGGAAAACTTGGTTTATCACGGTTTAGGCTGGCGGTCATATGCTGTCAGGAGCGAGGGGGCCCTTTGGGTCTTCATTGATGATGTCCTGGTCGTGCATTACAAGCTTCACGATACACGCATCATCGGACTCCGGATCCGGCCCTGGCGGGCCGTGGCATCCATCTGGGGCTTTCAGGTGGAAGACGAGCTTACGGGCATCCATGTGCTCAACAACTACCACGATCAAACCGGGGTCTACGGGAAGTACTTCAGCTTCAACATGGAGGACACCGGTATGGAATCACCGGAGTTCATAGGCATCAAGAGCAAAGCGGGGCAAAGGCATGCAAAAAAGTAACAAACATACGCACTCAACCAAGAATTAGTACGCAGTGAAGATTGAATAACGGCCTCCGGCCTGTTGTGCGTAGACTGCTATCCGGCTGCAGACACTCTACGCCGATTATCACTGTTTTTCGTTCCAAAACAAGATTAACATGAGCAGCCCGTATCTGTTCTTCGGACAATGAAGTATCAAACCTCCCACGCAGAAACCACGTCATAGCTAGCAGTCCTTGCTGGACAACTGCCTGCTCAAAGCCTTGGCGACGCTGAGGCTGCAGCAGGCAATAGCTTCAACTTGAGAAGTCGGGTGTTCGTCTACTGTTACTGCCCAGACTCGCGCTAACCAAGACCATAGAAAAGCTGCTGAGAGGGGATTACAAAGCTTCAGAAACTTGAAGTCTTCCAGGCGCGGATTCTGCCAAAAGGCCTTCGACTGACCTCCAGCCCAGCCAAAGCCGGAACTTGAGTCTTCAGATATGGGACATAGTGTGGTTTGAGCCCCCGCTCTAGGACATCGACCTTAACGTCGACGACGTGGAGATGTCTTCATTTCAACACTTACAGGTACGGCGCTGCAGGTATAACGATGATGGATCACTGCAGGGCTCTGGTGACCAAATGAGCGTGAGGCCGGACGCCGGGAACAAGTTCTCACAAACACGGTGCGGATGTGTTCCCCAAAACGCGACCCACAGTTCAGAGGCTGTGGAGGACACTGACGCTTTGATAGGGCTGTGAGCATTCGTATTCATAGGGCCTAACGGCACGGGCCGACCCCGCCGCCGAACACAAGGACCTTGCAGCATGCGCTATGTACGCAAGCCCCCTCTCTGCGAAGCAACTTCGCAACCCCATCCACGACAGGGCCGAATCAAAGGGCTTCGCCAGGCATAGGTCACGCCAAAGGGGTGGGGGGGGTGGGGGGTGGGCAAATCCGGCGTTGAATGCTTGTAGCCTGCCAAAAACAAAGGCGGGGGGTCGGCGACAGGGCGAGAAATGACGGAGGGAAGGTTGGCGCTGTCCGACCCTAGGTGCCCCTAGCGCTCATTTCGCCCAGATCAGAAAACATGCACAAAGAAGCTGCAGTGTTTAGACTCATGCTATGGCCTCGTACCACTGTTGCAGTAATAAAGTTCATGCTGCCCTGTGCCATGAAGGCTGTGGGCAACGCCCGGAACGAAGCGGGGCGGCAACGCGCATGGAAGGCTCGAAACCCGACCGCAATGCAAGCGCCTGCCAGTACGAATGGTCTCATCTAGTATAGCATCGTTGCTGCTTAGTATTTGGTGCTTATGTTGTTCATTATCACTCAAGGTTGTCCCAAACCTGACACCCTAAGGCGGACGGCACAAACGGCAACTTCCGGAAGGGCGACTATCTGCTCCCTAATAATAATCAGTACAGCTGTCCAACTGAGCGTCCGAGCCAAGGCTGACGGGCAGATTCTGCCCGTCGTTTTCAACCCGTAAGCTGACGCATCCTCTATCCGTCTCAGAAAGTCACGTAGCTCTCGGAGTCTTGCTTCGTTGAATGTACCAGGTGACCAAGAGTTTAGGGGTGTAGGGTTTAGGGAATCCAAGCGTGTTGATTTTCGTCAGTTGGGTTTACGGGAAACCTATTGATTTGCTTAGGACAGCATGCAGAGCATGCTGTCATTGGCTCCTGCCATCTCCTTGGGTGGTTGTCAAAATTATGGTCCCTGTTTGGGTACCCTACACATTTTATTAGGTGCCGTATCATATTCAGGACCCAAAAAGGGGGACCCTAATTTTGACAACCACCCCCCCTTTATTCGATTTGTTTTAAGAGGTCCAGCCTTGGAGGGATCCCAGCATGGGGATGTTCTCCTGGGCTCAAGCGTGACCTGCCGGGCTTCGGGAGAGACTGGAGGCCCAAGCCATGGCTAGCCAAGTTCTGGAGTTCCTGGGTTTTTTTAGGGGCCTTAATATAACCCCCCAGTATACTATAAGTATATAATAAGGGAACCCCCAAAACAGTATTGGTAGTTCTAATTCTTCAGGCCCCTAGTCTATAGTAGTTCTCGTGGCCAGCACTGCTCATCTCAAGGTGTGTTGCTGGCCGCAGGTGTTGCTCGCCGCATCCCTGCGCACTGCACCTTTCAAGGAAAAAGCTTTTGCCGTATATCTGCGGTTTAACAGTATGCTTCTGCAAGTCGAAGGTGGTTGCACCTCTGCACCGTTAAACTACATAGAATATGTTGTTTGGAGCTCTTGCTGCCTGCGTGTGGCTGCACTATGGGACTCCTCGGCTTGGCCGTGGTGTCGCAGACATGTCATTGACAGCTATGATCTCTGTTTTTCCCTCTGCAAGGAGGGCAAGTCTCCTGCCCAATCACAGACGACAGCTGGGTTTGGCTATGGCTAGCAAACTAGGGCAACGACAACGACGACTAGTACTAACTACTACTTGGGTAGCTACTCAGCTGAGCTACAGCCACAAGATCTCACCAGCAGAACTGAATGCCAGACGGTTTTGCGATCAAGCCAGCGCATGCAGAATGTCTGCAATATGTAAAGTGTGGAATCTGTCACGTATTCGAAATGCATCCAAGTTTGAATCACGGACGAAGTGGAAACTGCAGCATTGCAAGTCGGCGATAGTGCTCAGCTGGTATGTGGCGAGCATGCCTGACATGAAAACCCATCAAAATCTGTCTGCGTCGCGTCCACCACATACTACAGCGCCTGCGGAAGGGCTCAAACTCGCCTTGTGGCTGCAAGCACAGAAGTTCTCCACGCACGCCTTTTCTGAGAATGACATTGCTTTTGGCAGACTCAATCCACAACTCGCCACCTCCCCGGCATGAGCATATCGGCAATGTGTTGCTGCGTCGAACGTCACCGCTGATATCGGCATGCACGGCAGTTCGGACAGTAGGAGTAGGCCACCTGAGGAAGAGTGGACCACGGAAGCTCACTCTGCAGTAGCTTCACAGAAAACGCAGTACTTGGTTCAAGGATGACAGGACACTTTCACCAGCTTTGAGCGTCTATCTCTCTGCAACCAGCGTCGATCTTTCTGTTCTTGCTCTAGTCTTAACGGGGCATACGAGCGCATGCACCGAGTCATGAGCAGCCCCGCAGTCTTGGAGGATCATGGGACTTAGTAAGTATGGTTATAAGTACCTTAATTGGGGGTTATAAGTAATTACACGTATAGTTACCCTAAAAATAACCGTAGTTGCTGAGTCCCATTATCCTTGACGTAACATCTGAGACGCCGCCGCCTCTGCGTCATACTGCGGTAAACCAAGCCAGGGGAAAGAACCTCCTCAGCTATGCAGTTTTTCCTAAACCCTAAACCCTCGATCAAAGAAAGGCATTGTCTGGGAATCGCTGTGAGCTCAAGAAAGCAGTCTGCGTGTACCTTCGCATGCTCCCTTACAGTTTGAAGGTCTCGTTTTCCAACCCCTTTTGGTCGATACCAGCCGAGCCTCGAGCTCCTGCTTGCAGTAGCAGCTCAATAGCATGAGTGATGGTGATAAAAGAAAGCAGCAAGTACAATGCCGCTGCCCTTCAAGACACGCAAACCCACACACAAATCTAGAGTAAAGACCCCTGGAAACCAATTATGTATCCGGACAAGAACAGAGTCCCTTCCAACAGAGCTCCCCTGGAACCTTTATGAAGCAGACTTAGAGTCTGGAGAGTGCCATGCGCGTCTCGCGGATGAACACCAGTACGAACCGCCCGGGGCCTAGCGATCTTCTGCACCGGGCCTAATTCAGAATTTGGACCTTCGGAGCTTAGCTTTTGGGGGGTTCTTCGGGTTTTCTGTAAGGTGGTTGAAAAAATCGTCACGGTTCTTGATGCGATGATGTGCTCGGAACGATCGCAGCTGGCAGCTGGCTGCCGCATGGGCGTTTCTGAAAGGTGCTCCTTGTGTGGGTCCTTGACTCGTGTTTGTCAGTTTGTCGACGGCATGTCCTCGCGAAACCCCTTCACCCCTAAAGCCCAAAATCCTACCCTTGAATCCTGCATCTTAAATCCACAAACCCTCAACTGTACTTTGCAGTTGGCATTGGAACTAAGGAGACATTTGTCGAGCCAAGCGATGGCTACGGTTGCTGCCTTTGCGATGGGGGTGGTGGTTTCTCAGAATTTGGATTTGAAGAAAACTCTATAAAGCTCCACAGGATGTTCTACAGGGCGATAACTTTAAGAGGTCTTATGGGACTCTAGGTGAGGCTTTCGGCTTTAGTGTGTGGGGTGCTTTTTTGGTGCTGCAGTAGAGCCGACGTATCTATGCGCAAGTGCTCGGCAGAAGTGGTAGAAAGGTTTGCGACTTCATGAGAGTGATTGCACATGCTGGCTTTACCCGGTGGCGCAATGAGACCATGATAAGAGTTTTGATCGTGGAACAAATCGGGGACAGTTTTCAGAACAGAAATACACAGGATGGCAAAGCCACGACATGTCCCTGCGCATGGAACCCCTTGAGCTCGGCTTCGTCAGGTCCGGGAGAGTGGCTCCGGGGCAGCATGAGCCGCATGCGTTCCCTCGCAGGCCGGGAAGTATTTTTCAGAGCCTGCGTCAGCGCTTTGCAGCAGCTCGCCTCCATCAGTGTTACGGCGGGCACACCTGCTCTGCAGTCACAATGTACTGTCGATGCACTCGGCATGGGGTACGATGTCGTTCTGCCAGTCCTAGTGATGGCTTCGGTTTTGCCGTTAACTGAGTTGCGATGGGACTGATGGCACGGTGGTCCGAGCCCACGTTCCAATTCTAGATGCCAGAGACGGTCATCTGTTGTGTTGCCGCTTGCAGCTCGTTGTCCTCCTTTTGGTACAGCTTCACCAGCTTCAGAAGTCAACGGCACTGACAAAGTGACTCAGAGAGGTCACGCACTCTGCTGCTTTTCCACTTGTGGACCTGTTGAAAAGATCTCCAACGAAGTGGCAAAGGTCTCTTGTCCTTTCCCCAAATGTTGCCCATCGTTCTGCCAACACACATGTGGCCTCTGGCCTTGCATCGTGTTTTGCCGAGCAGAGAG